CCCATCCCGATCCCGTGTGCGCGTCCCGGGCGGAGCGGCCTCGTCGGGCCCGTTCCCCGCTAGAGGGCGCTGCAGGACGCGCCGCTGAGGCGGGCCCGGCGCCGTTCCCACAGTGGGACCGCGGTGATTCTCCTGATAAATTGACTTTTTTAATGCTCGATTTTCAGGAGATAACCGGCTCACAGACAGACTGTCCTGTTCTCTTTTAGTGGGACAACTTCTTGGGCTAGTTGTATATTTTTTTTCTTGATTCCCAGAGAAGCAGCCCTACCGCTCCTTTAGTCTGTTAGATTCTATTAACTATGGTTAAACTTTACCTGAGGTTGGGGAATTTGCTTGTGTTCTTTCATATTCCAAGATATCCAAAACTCCACTGATATCTAGAGTACTGAAAAGTTATTTTGTTGCCTTTTTATACTGTATATAAATCCCAGCATCACATAGGCACTACACCCCTTCTTCTCTAAAGAACCACTGATTTAGCTGTACATTTTAGAAAAGTAAGATTTAAATAAATCAGAAAGGAATATGTAATACATCCTGGTCTAGGTTAATTTTGATAATCAGAACCGGATGAATTGGGTTGCAGTGTAACAGCAGCTGAACTTTCAGGGATCCAGAAATCCTGGTATTTCACAGCCATGCATCCATAGATTTCTCACGTTTTCTCCTTGAGAATCTTTACAACTGTAAAGAAAAGAAAATGGCAATACACTCCTTCTCTTCGTTTAAAGTGTGTCAGAAGTGTTGTGATAAAAAGCCTCAGGAGCTGAATTGCCTAGGAGGGATTTCTTCACGGAGTGCTTTCTTTTGTCAGGAAAAGACCATTGAGCGTTTAAAGGAGCAGCGTGACAGAGATGAACGAGAAAAACAGGAAGAGATCGACAACTACAAGAAAGACATTAAGGACCTGAAAGAGAGAGTCAGCATTTTACAAGGAGATCTCACAGAAAAAGAGGTTGACCAGCAACACGAATCTATTGTGATACAATTATTTGTTGTCTCTATTTGTGTTACATTCGAGATGAAGAAAACTGTTCCTTTATAGTAATTGTCCTTCAACAAAGCTGATCTGGTAGAGTACATCATTTGAGAATTTGCAAAGCATCAGTGTTTCAGAACCACCTTTTCAGGGATAGCAGCCATCCCAAGTTAATCTTGTTAGCAGTGACTGACAGCTGGTCAGTGATGGCATTGACTGAGCTGTGCTTATAGACAGCAGAAGGCTGGGATCCAGTTTGTCCCAGTCGGAATGTGGGGAGGAAGGAGCAGAGGCTGATCAAAGCTGTGGGTGCCAAAAGCATGAGGATAATGTTTGTTCCTTTATGCAGACTACACAGCCAGTTCTTTTGACTCTCGAGTCTTTTTTTTGATTAATTAGGTTGATTGTTGGTAATGAGCCAGTTGGCTAGACAAATTACCTTAATTATATGAGAGAAATATAAATGTTCTCTGTTCCTCTCTTGTGTACTTACAGTCTTTTTTTTTTTCAGAACTCAAAGTAAAACAATACAAAAATATGAACCCAGAAAGTACCAAGATTTTTGTCTACATGGAAATCAGCATTTGACAGGGAAAAAAAGTGAACACAAAAATTGTTTAGAAAGAAAGAAGTTCAGATTTCTTTTGGAGTAAAGTTTTATGAATCAGTTTTACCCCATGGAAGCTGTATACAGAAATGCTTTCAACTCTCTCAGTGGCTAAATCTTCTAACCACATATTATTTTAAATACAATTTTATTGAAAACAATTTTTTCTTAAACATCACTGTCACTGGAGCACAAGTTCCCATTTACAAAATTGTCCGTATTTAAAAATTATATAGAAATTAATTTAGTTGAGGTTTTATTTTGATTCTGAAAGCCTGAATTGAGTCAAGCTGTCTTAAGTCAGTGACACAAACAACCTGAAAAAAATGTTATAAATTAGATCCTGAACATAGTGTGAAGGCATAGGAGGAAAGTAAAGAGAAAAAAGGAACTAACTATTACACTTACTCGATGATTATTTCACATCTTTTAATTTAGACATCATTACTGGATCTTAAGGAACATGCTTCATCATTAGCTTCATCAGGACTGAAGAAAGATTCAAGACTCAAGACACTGGAAATTGCATTAGAACAGAAAAAGGAAGAATGTTTGAAGATGGAAACACAATTGAAGAAGGTAATCTTAGTGCATGTTTATATTTGTGTTGTAAGCATACAGTTCTAAACACATTGCCCATGTCTACAAAGAAAAGTTGGGGTCTTAAGAGAAAATTCTTTGAATTTCTTCTCAGCAAGAACTGTGAAGCTCAGCCTGTCAGAAAGTACCTTTCAGATACACTACATGCAGTAACAGTGCTGTTGGCTTTTTTCTTAACAGATACTGAGAGTTTGAGGCTTGGTCTGCTTCAGTACAGTTCATACCAGCAGTAATGCCATTAGATTGATGCAACAGCCAAAAAAAAACCAGCTAAACATTTCACATACCGATTATCAATGCCTATAGGTGTTAATGTGATAAATTCAGGTGCAGGGTTGGCCCTGCCCAGAGGAAAGCATAAAAACAAATGAGAAGAATATGCCACCTGTGAAGTATGTGATTTGGAGTAATCAGCTCAGACTTGTTTAGAATTCCTGTTTGTGGGTGCAGGGTGGGTGTTAATGCACCTGAGAAAGGTGTAAATGAAACTCTGTACATGCTTATCTAGACCCATGTCTGTCCTGTTTCATTCTATCACACAAAATCAGCTGTTCTGTTACTCAGCATCAACAGGGCTCAGTAGCAAGAAAAGGCAGCTGTACACATGTAATTGATCTCACAGGCTGTTTTCAGTGGGTATTTCAGAACTGTACTTAGCAGGAACATCTGCTAAATGGACATGGAAAATAAATAAAGGCCTCATACATTGCTGGAGTTCTTACTCAAAAGGTCCCACTGGGAGGTGCTGAAAAAAAAAAAATCCAAGATTTTATAATAATCCAGAGTACAGATCAACATCTGAAGAGGTCGATTAAGATATGATAATTGCATGAGGTGCACTTTAAATTTCTGTACATGACCTTTCTCTGTTCTGAAGGACAGAGAAATGAAGGACCCTTTCATTGAATTCTCTGCCATGAAGTGCAGTTTCATCCTGTGTTGCTGGTAATGAGTTGACAAATCTATTATAGCTAAGATTTGCCAGAGGTTGTTAGAGCATCTCCTCATCCAAAGAAGCTACCTAAATCATGGTCAGGATGGTTTCAGTTCTACAAAAAAAAAAAAAAAATTGGATAGCCTACCATTCTTGATGTGAAGCAAGTCATAGTTACTCAAGAAAATATAGTTAACATTCACTTGAATGTGTTTTATGCCTATAGTAAGTTTGCATATTTCTTTAATAACTCTTTTTCCAGCTGTTTTTAATTTCTTAATGGGTTTTATTGTAGCATTCATAGAAGAAAAGAAAAAAATTTTAAATGCATTACCGATATTTATTCAGGCAGTTTGACATTTTCCAGACAGATTAGTTCCTTCTCATCCTCGAAATAATTATGACAGATAATCCAGCTCCATTTTAAAGCTTCTAAAAACTCATTTTTGCACTGCATTGTTAAAAATTGCAAAAAATTGTCATAATTAGCCTTAAAACTAATGGCTACATAAGAGCATTCAGTTTAAAACTGAATTAGAGGTTCATTCTTTTATTACAATATCTTAGTGAAAATTTGCATGAGTCACATGCAGGAAGCAAGCTCTCATGTAGCTCCTTAAGAGTAAATGGCTAAAAAAGATTTTTCTTTTAGGTTCTTCCCCCACAGTTTGAATGGAGATGTGTCTAACATCAGTCTTGCTTCCCTTGCCTTGTGTTCCCAGTGAACAGTTTGAGTACTTGCAGTCAAATCTATTAGCCCTAGAAGTTAAGGAGCTGGCAGAAGAGACTGAACTGGACCACTGTTAAATAAAAAAGATTTGGGTAGTCCTTGCAAAAAAACTCTTGCTCACCTCCAAACAGTGAGCCTCAGAGAAATTGTGAACTATGCAAGCTTCCCCTTCTTCTGTAAAAGGGATTTAATTTTATCCTAAACATGAATATTAACCAAGTGGAGTGCAAGGGTGCTGAAAAGTTGTTGGTATTGGTTTTAGTCCATGTCAGTCTCCAGTGTCTCACTTGAAGTATCCACTTGTTGTTGTTGTTGCTGTTCCTCTTCTCACTAATAGCTGTTTTGTTATTGATCCTCGACTTTGTGACAAAAACTGCCGTGGTTTTCATATTGGGGTTGTTTTTTCAAATAATAATACCGTGGTTATGCAAATCTGTGTGCCTAATGTTCTGATTATTCTACATTCACTGCTTCTGTGCTCAGTTGTCATCCTGCTGCCAGCAGGAGATGCAGTGGGAGATTCTGAAGGTTGAAAGCAGCTCATAAATCCCTGTTGAGTTTACATGGCCTGGTGTCTTGTCTTCATTTTGGCTCAGATGGAATCATTGGAGGCAAATCACACGTAGGAGGTTCTCTCCCTGTTTTTTTGTAAAGTGCTGTTCTGCTCTGTAAAGATTTTTCTTTTCTTTAGGAAAATCTTTGTCCAAACTACTATTTTAATATATTAGTTTTATAGTGAAAAAGTTTTCCTTTAGTTGTTTTTCTTCAGGATACTCTTTTCCCAGCATTTTCTGTCTTGCCTTTCCCAGCCAGTATACTTTATTTCGTTTGGTTTTTCTAATACGGGAGAGACCAACTAATATTAGAAGTTTTTCCAGGAAAGATGAGTGGATTTTTGTCCATCTTCATTTCCAGTGCATAGTTTTTCTCCCTATAGATATACTCCTTATTTTTAGGGAGGAAAAAGAGTCAAAACCATATGTTAACAAACTTGCCCTTGCTGCAGTTCTAGGAGCTTTTCAACAGAAAATGTTAGCAGTGATTTCCTGCCAGGAAAATACCTCTACATTCAACAGGCTCACTCAGAGGTTGTTTGTTTTTGGTTTTTTTTTTTTTCTTTTCTGCTGTGGTATTTTTTCTTCACGTTCAAGAGAATATTATCTTTCAAAAAACAGGAAAAAAACTGACTGAATGAAGTGTTGATCCAAATTCTGTCTTTCCCAAGAATTAGCTTGGCTAGTTTAATACAGACTCCACTGCTTTTTATTTTTGAACATGGATTTTTCTCCCACACTGAAAATATTGCTGATAATATTGGTAGATGAGGCTGGCTTTTGTTCTCAGCTGATAATTTATTTTTTTTTCCCCAAAGAAGGGACAATAAATGATGTATTCAACATAGAAAGAAAAAGACTACCAGGGAAATCAGGATTTCTTGTAACAATAAAAGTAAAAACACAGCAATTGTGTTCAGCATTTAGATAGTGTCAGAGACTGAATTAGTTTTCTAAACCATTCAGCTGTCTTGAAATTGATACAAAGGAAGCACTAGGAATTAAAGTTCTTCTCAATCTGTGAAACTCATCTGTAAACCCAAACAAAGAACTACTTTAAACATGTGGGGGCTGGAAAAATCTGTTAAACTGGGAAAATCAAGATGAAATTTGCAACCTGCACCAGGGTAACTCTCCATGTTTCTCATGTTCCAAAAGCTGCTTAGTAATGCATGCTAAAACCACTAATTAAAATTCTGTTGTCTTAGTAAATTAATGCTGCAGTTATTATTTTAAATTCTTTTCTTGTTGCATCTTTTCTGTTTCTCTCTCACACTGTTCCTATCCCAAATTTTCTCCATCTTTTCCTGTCTTCTTTCTCCCTTTAGCACCCTGAAGTTTTATTGAGTCATCCATCCAAGCTAGTAAGTTTCCTGGCAATCTGAGATGCTGTTGCCAGCACATTTAATTTTTTGTGTTGCATGTGTATTCACCTGTGCTTTTATAGTTGGACCAACACGGAGTGTATTGGTGAATTCCTTTAGTAGTGGGTATGGACAATATGGATACAAACAAAAAGCAGTGGGATGTCTGACCTGTCATGTTCCAAAAAGCTTTCTGAGATGTTTTTTACTGTTTGAGTGCCTTGGTCTAACTGCTTTTTTGTTTGGACAGCTTAATATTGTGTCAGTGTTTTGTTTCCCCTTGCTGCTGGTGCTTGAAACGTCCTGTAGCTTTTCTGTCATCTCCATTGTATGTGCATTTTCAGAGCAAGGTGGTGCAATTTCTATGCAAATCAAGCTTCTGTAACACTGGGCACAGCAGCACATTAGAAACAGCAACTGAGTTGTAGCAACTGAAAGATTGCTAAAAACTTGTGTAACCATTCAGCTTGCTGGTACTGTGTCAGTTTAATTTTGGATCCTATTTCCAGCCTCCTGTTTGATGTCAAAGAGCACTCCTGTCAAGGAGTGTTTGTATAATAATATCTTGACACTGTAAATTACGTAATCCAAGGTGGTTTTCATCAGAGATTTCTTTTGTGGCTCTGTGCATAAAACCTGGTGATACAGAACTTTCAGGAGTCTGATACCTGTGTTACTCTTGGCAATGTTCAGGGTAAATGGACTTGTCTATCCTGACAATCACTGTCTGAGAGTCAGAGAATTGCTGGGGCTTGCAATTGTTCAGTTTTTGTGGCATCCCATATCAGAAATTCTTTAAACCTGGCTAAATAGATAAGGAGATGAGAAAATGAGGTAAAATACAAAGCGATTGTAATGGGTGCAAATAGGCAGAAGAGCTTGTGTCAGGAGAGCACATTCCCACAAAATCTTTAATAGCATGTACAATTTTTGAGACTCTGAAGTCAGGAAATAGAAGATATGGGAGCAAACTGTGTATTTTATTCTCCAGTATGATATAGCAAACACACAGGATAAGGTACAGGAGGCTTTGTGGAGGCCAGGTTGGGTGGGGTTTTGAGCAACCTGGTCTGGTGGAAGTTATCCCGAGATGAGCTTTAAGGACCCTTCCAACCCAAACCATCTTATGAGTCTCTGGTAGCTTTTAATGTTCCATCCTGTGATGTTCTCAGCATCATCTCATGCAGGGGAAAGTTGGAGAGGTTTTCTCCCTGATATTCTTATACCTAAATAAAAAGATAAACTTACCTACTCTATGCCTCCCACAGAAACTTGTGAAGATAATACTCATTTTGAAAAATTAAGTATTCAGCATTTAGGAAATGGCCAATGTCACAGTGTGTGGTCTTTCCCTCTTTTTTCCTTCTGAGGTAATTTGTATAGCATTTCATCACTGA